ATTATGACTTTATTTAAATAGTTTTGGAAAAAATAAACTTTGACCAAAAGTTTAGAAACGTAATCAGCCTACTCTTCGCAATACAAAAAGCATATAGAGTAGACTCTGGAATGATTTTAGAACCTTTTAGAGTAGAAAGAGGAGTAAGACAGGGGGATTCTCTCTCTCTTCTTCTATATATACTAGCTATAAATCTACTTACTTATACAATTAATCAAAATATTAAAGGTATTCAAATTAATAACTTGGCATTCAAAATAACAACCTATACTGATGACCTTTTAGTAGGAATTAGCTCTCTATTTGATTGGTCTAAACTCCTAGAAATGCTAGTAAAATATGAAAAAGCTTCAAATACCATCATCAATAAAATGAAATATACCTTAATTCTATTAACAAACATTGTTCAGAGTCAAATTATCCAACTAGAACAGATTCAAGCTCCCTAATAAGGACCAAAATAGCTTCACTATTTTGGGTTATACTGTGAATATAGAAGGTTACCTAGCAAAAACTCTTTGGTCTGAAATGACTAAAACAGAATATAAGATCTCATACTAAGAAGTTTTTTATTTAAAGAAAAATTCTAGCTTCAAAATATTACTTATCTCTAAAATATGGTACTTGGCCTACTTATTGTCACTTACAAGAAAGCAATTAAATGAAATCAATACTTTAATTACTAATTAGATAAAAAAAAAACTCAAAAATACTACCATAGTACTCAACCTTCTAAATTAGTACTGAACAAGGAGGGCTATCTGCTCCAATTCTTAAAGATATGCTCGATGCTAGGCTACTGTCAATATGGATTAAACTTCTCTCAAGCAATACTTTCTAGGCCAGAACAGAAAGAGAAAAGGCAACAATAAGGCTTCAAAATAAAAAAAAACCAACCCAGAGAAGTGCTATCCTAGTTATCTTGCAAAACCAAAGAGTAGTCAGATAGCTGAAAACTTTATATTACAGGTTTAAAGATAGCATTAATGCAACCCACTCTTGGCTATAGATACTTGAGCAAATCAAAATAAATGATATAGATGAATAACAATTTATAGTAAAAAAAGCATTGCAAAGTTGGTATAAGCCATATATCTTATAAATAGTTAAAAACAAAATAGGTGCTAAACAAGAAAAAAGATATCTTCTGAAAGCTAAACCATAGAGCACTTCTACTAGGATATCATCTAATTTATATTAACCAAAACAACTTAGAGGACTGCCCAAACTGCCTCTACGTAACTCAAATGATAAAACACTGTCCTAAAATGTCCACTTAGCAAAATTGTCTGGAAAACTATATATAAATCATTTAAAGAGGCAGAATATGATCCTATACCTAGTATACTCAAAGAAATTTTTTAAGCAACCAATATAAATAATACAAAAAAAGAGAAGCTGCTACCTGGCTTTATATAATAATAGTTTATGAAATCTGATACTGGTATACTCAAGCAAGATGGAATAACTCCTTAATATCACAAGAAGTAATTGCAGGGTCATAAACATTAGATTTAGATACAAAATCAATCTTCTATACAAATTAGCTTATATTCTAGGCCTAACAAAACCAGGAATATAATTAATTTTATCAAATATTCAATATAAATATGTACTTTAACTTGTAATTTTAAATAAAGTATGCTTAAATGTATAAAAAAAAGGATAAATATATTTGGTGCATCCGCACTATAGTGTAGGGTTAGGTTGATTAATAGATTTCATATAACCTTTACTGGTTACAGGGATATATAAATAGTGATCATTATTAATAATCATTGATAATCTTTTTTTTATATTGTGTTGATTTTGTTTTGTAGTACCTGGAAGAGCTTCTGATTTTGGCGCTTTTGCTTCATATTCAATCTTCAGATGGGTTTCGCTTGTATTCTTAGAACTAGCTTTTCTGTTTTAGGTATTGTTCAAGTTTAACTAATGGCCCCCTTTTTTTTTTAGGTGGGCTTTTTTTGGTGATTTTGTTTTCTTCGTGTACAACTAACGTCTACTTGTTTTTTTTAAGGTAGGCTTCACTTGTCTTCTGGAATTAGCCTTCAGTTTTGGTGGTATTCAACCTTCAGGTGGGTTTCGCTTGTATTCTTGAAACTAGGTTTTCTGTTTTAGATGTTGTTTAAGTTCAACTAACACCCTTTTTTTTTTTTTTTTTTTTAGATAGGCTTCGCTTGCTTTCTTGGAATTAGCTTTTCTGTTTTTTGGTGATCTTGTTCTCTTCGTGTACAACTAATATCTACTTGCTTTTTTTAAGGTAGGTTTTGCTTGTCTTCTAGAATTAGTCTTTGGTTTTGTTTTCTTTATGTTCAACCTTCAGGTAGGTTTTGCTTGTCTTCATGGAGCTAGCTTTTTTGTTTCAGATATTGTTTAAATTCAACTAATGCCTATTTCTTTTTTTAGACTGGTTTCACTTGTCTTCTTGGAATTAGGCTTCCTGTTTTTGCGATCTTGGCTTCTTAGAATTAGCCTTTCTGTTTTGGTGTTATTGTTTTCTTTATATACAACTAATGTTTACTTGTTTTTTTAAGGTAGGCATTGGAATTAGCCTTCGGGTTTTGTTCTTTTCATGTTCAACCTTCAGGTGGGCTTCACTTGTCTTTCTAGAGCTAGCTTTTCTGTTTTAAGCATTGTTCAAGTTCAACTAACACCTATTTTTTTTTAGATTAGTTTCGCCTATCTTCTTGAAATTAGTCTTCCTGTTTGGTGATCTTGTTTTTTTTTCATGTACAATTAACAATGTCCACTTGTTTTTTTAAGATAGACTTCACTTGTCTTCTGGAATTAGTCTTTGGTTTTTGTCTTCTTCGTGTTTAACCTTTAGGTGGGTTTCGCTTGTCTTCTTGAAACTCATTTTTGTTTTAGGCATTGTTCAAGTTCAATTAAAGCCCATTTCTTTTTTTAGGTTGGTTTTGTTTGTCTTGCTTCTGGTTTTGGGGTTGTTCAGATTTGAACATTGTTCAGGTAGATTTACCTGAGCCTTCTAGTTTGGTTGTTATTTTATGTTTAACTAATGTATATTTTATTTTTCAGGTGGGTTTGGCTTGTCTTGTTTACGATTTTTTGGGTGTTGTTCAGATGATTTTTGCATGCCTTCTTTGATTTAGGCTTCCGGTTTGGTGTTTTTTTTCATGTTCAACTATTTTTTTGTTTAGACGGTTTGTTTTCTTGGAATTAGGCTTTCGAATGGGAAACTAAAATCATAGTCATATAAATAAATATGAATTACTTATCATTAGTTATAGAATTCCCCCAATACTTGAAATAGCAATATTGCTTGAAAGATTTTAATCGTATAGAAAGCCCCAATATAATCTGAAATATATCGATTTCATGTAACTAAAGGGTAATTGGTGCCTTGTGGGTGCTTTGTGCATATTAGTAATAACGAATATAATAAAATCAAAAGTCTAACTCATAATTGCTTCTTATCTATTAATTGTATAACGCATACTGAAAATATGTACAAGGTTGGCGGTGTAGACAAACTTCTTAAAATTCATTAAGGTTAGGGTTAGAATCAGGGTTAGGATCTAGAGAGATAATTTATATAATAAAATTGCCTAACGAAAATGTTTTGTTAGAGCACAAAAGGTGTTTCGTATGTTGATTTTTGAGATATGAGCAATTTTTGGCAAAACGAACATTTGTTTTTGAATCTTTTTGATCATATTACATTATGTCTAATTTTGAAATCTGATTTGTAATATGGGAGAGCGCATCGTCAGCCTTGTACACATTTTCGGTGTGCTTGTATAACAGCTTATTGTCAATGATTATCAAACCCTGCACTGTGTGTGAGGTACACCAAAAATAAACACCCAATTAAAAAAAAATATAATATTGTTAGAGGTTTGGATTCTGTAGCTTATTGGTTAAGCTCTCAAACCCTACAGACAAGGTTAACAGTTCAAATCAGATTAAAAACAAATTAAATAATTTTTGTTACTGTAATCTTTGGAAGCCATAATTGAAAACAGAGTCTAGTGGCTAAGTCTAAGTGTAGTTATAAAGCTAGAATAGGAATTCCTGAAAGAAAACCAAAATATAGAGAATAGACACTATATGTAACTATAGTATTACAGAAAACTGTAGCTATAAAGATTGTATGAATAAGTCTTTAAGAGACAGGGTAGTACCAACATCTTTATATCTTCAGGTTTGGCAATATCAATATCTCTACATCTATGTGAAATATTTGCTTAGAAGAGTAGTTAATAAATTGTACAAATAAGTCCTTATCTAGAAAAAGAAGATACATATACTTGCTTGAGAAAGTAATTATTATAACCAAAGTTGGAAATAGTAAGAAAAGTAGTAAATATATAAATAGTTTGTGGTAAAGAATTGGCTTTATCAGAATCAGAAGCATCTCTGACAACACAGAAGATACTATAGAAGGCAAAGAGTATGGAGATTGTCTGATATTTTGCATATGTATAAAGATACCAAATCAAACTCCAGTTGTACCTATATAAAGTCTATAATAAACAAGTCTAAGATCTACCAATCTCTGGAGTTTATAATACAAATAACAGTATAGCATTACTAGGGTTAGTGTAACTCTCTAAAAATAACTGGAATTGTTCTAGTGTTATATAACAACATGTTGAAAACAAGTATTATATAGTAGTATAATATCACTAGGGTTAATAAACTCTCTGGTTATAATCAGAATTGTCCTGAATATTTGTGAAATATATCCTAAACTTCACCATAGCAGATAATACTTAAAAGAACAGAGGGCATCTGTGGTTGAGTTAACAATACCAACTGTTTGGTGTATATGATATCGATCTTTTGGAGAGGATAAGCTAAAATATCCACTTTTTACAAAAATTTTCTCAAAAAAAAGTGGTGGGCCAATGAAAATATGTGAGGTTCTTCTTGTAAGAGTTATAGTAGTATAGTCTAGTTCCTCTGTTTCTACTTGATATTCTTGCATAGAGACCCAATAGTAACGTTGCTCCCAAAATATCCTTCTGGTTTGAATATCGAAAGTATGGGGAATCTACTTCAGTCCAGCACACAAGACGAAAGAGCTTGACCTCTGTGTAAACTATCCACAATATCTGCACCTCAGTATATCACGTTTAAGAATTTCATTGACAACAAACCTAAAATACTAGACCTACTTTTTGTTATATGTCCGCTTCTCGGTATTTTACGTATATAAGCTTCGTTGATAGTAAGTAGTATAAGTATGTAGCAAAAGTATTGTGATGTCCACTTTGTCATTTTTCTATAACTTTTTACTGTAGTTTGATTTTTTTGTTGTTGACCAAAGGATTGTTAGAGAAAATTGTGTATATTGAAGATAAGTTTCTTTTTTGTAATATTTTTTTAAAATTTGTATTTTTTTTTATTAAGTTATATTTTTGTTTTATATAAACTATTCTTTGAGTATTATTTGAGTTAATAAATATATCTTTAGTTTATAAACTATTGGTTATAACTTTTTTTGTGAATATTACATTGGCAATAAGTTAATAATATTTTATCTTTTAAGGGTGTGGCGACATAGAGTAGTGGTTAAGTTGTCACCCCAAGCAGCAGGTCTAGAGTTTGATTTTCACTGGAGACATTTTTCGAAAAATAGGTCTATGTTCCAGTAATATTTATTTAACGATCAGTTGGGTATATCACCTGTAATCTTGGTACTACCATCTTGTTATAGAAGCTTTAGGGCGATCCAAATCCAAGAAACCAGAATATTTGAAACCCATTTGGCAAGACCCAAGCTAGGAGTAGTGAAAATCTTCAATGATATTACGGAAAATTAGTACTAGAGATCGAAGAACTGGACGAACAACTCTAGGACAAGAAGGGTCTATCAACCTGGCCACCGGAGTCGTATCAGAGGAAAAGGTCTGATGTTATAGAATTCAGAACCAAGGGAAGTAAAACCAGAAAGCACTTAGAGCCTAGATACAAAAATCCAGGTGATACATGTGTGGGGTATGGACCACTCTAGTAGATTTACCACGAAGATAAAGTAGTCCTAAGGGGCCTTAGCGGCAGGTACTCTTCCAGAGAAAGTATCCAATAGCGCTAAGTTGATCAGAGGGTTTAAATAGAAGATCCACAAGTAGATCTTAGGTATGGCAATTGGTGGGTAACTATAGATAGAAATAAATATAGCGAAGCCCTTAATTAGACAATAACTAAAGTTATACATATGATCAATTGTACTCTCGTAGATGTAACAAAGTCAAGAGGTGTCTACTAAGTATCCCAATAATTGAACTGAGAAGTTAATAAATTGTGCCAGACCCCAAGTGATCACCTTAATATTAAAAAAAAAATATATATATATTTTATTTTTTCTATAAACTGTTTTCTGTTATAAAATTATATAAACATATTTCTTAACTACTCAAATACTTAGTTAAGTAAAATAACTTGTTAACTAATAATCTAACAATATTATATATATATATATATCATAGGCGCAGAGAGTTTAAATAGGTAACCCTCTAGTCGGGTTGCAGGTATGACATCTAGTGTAGAACTTAGTAATA